CGCCTAGCCAAGTTGGAGATTCAGGAGGATGCATTTTGGAGACAGAGGGCGAAGCAACACGGGCTAAAGGGGGCAGACGCGAATACAAAATTCTATCACAGGTATGCCTCTCACCGAAAAAAGAAAAACACACTTTCTAAAATTATGAATGATAATGGGGATTGGGTGGAGGGAGATGCCATTAAGAGTGTTATCTTTGATTATTACCGAGATATTTTTTCGTCAAACCAAACCCAGATGGACGAAAGTTTTTATACTAATGTCTTGCCCCGAGTGACACAAACGCAGAATGATGCCCTATTGTGTTGGGTAAAAAGGTGAAAATCCCAATTATAATAATTCTACAGAAAAATTATTATAACCAGGAAAACAGAAAACTGGGAAGGAAAAGGTTGAGTGTTTGGGTATAGGGTTTAACACGAGTTCGAACACACAAGGTTCTTTTCCTTAAAACCTTATTTGCTACCTCCCACGAGTGCTAGGAGCGTTGTAGCCTAGGTTTCCCAGGATAAAACGTGTTACAACTCTTTGTTTAAGCACTTAAACAAAGAGCCCGGCGAACAAAGCAAGGCTGGAGCACAGATGGCTAAAGAAGAGAGTAGAAGCAGAAGTTTTGAAGCTGAAAGCTACTGGAATTCCTTTTTGTTTTCACTGTGTGTAAAATGCTTCTGCCCCACCTCTTCTTTATATAGGGCTCGTTGGAAGGGATAGCATTCAACATGGGCATTAAATTGGTGTTAAAACCAATTGTGTAACACCTGTAACAGTCACCACTAAGTAGGATTAAACTCTGAGTTTAAAATTGGAATTAAACAGTATTAATTCTGTAACAGATGAGTTTAATCTTCTGCACTTTCGGGTTTCTGACCGTTGGGATGCACGAGAGTACCCACTCTCGTGTTGTGATACAACACGAAAGTACCGCTCTCGTGCTGTGGTGCAACACGAAAGTACAGCTCTCGTATTCACCGTTGCACGAGAGTTTTGCTCTCGGTGCACCACAACCTCTCATGCTACACACGAGAGTAGGTGATCTCGGTTCGGTTTTGGCCGAACCAAGTGACTCGGTCACCAAGTGACTATAACAGATGGAAAATGATACCGAAGTTTGGCATAACTTAGCCCGCACAGCCAGCCAATTTGCCAATTTCCGGACGACATTCGTGCCCGCGCACGCGAGCTCGGGCTTGATTCAAGCCTTTTGAGCTCTTCTAGTTGGATTTTGATTTGCATCCGCCCCCCCCCCCCCACCCCCCCGCGCGAGAGAGCCTCTATGCTATACAATTCTACAAGTTTGAAAAGAGCTCATGTATATAAGGGGGGCAAATCTTGTTTCCAAACCAATGTGGGACAAAGTCCTACATTTTCCCTTCATTTCCCAATTCAAATGGGTCTACTTTGAGAATCAATATCTCATTCACCCATTATCCGTTTTGAGCGTACAATATATCAATCTCTTCGTCTCACTACGAAGAACACGAATCCACTTTGACCCGACCCAAATCGGAAGTGGACCCCACTGATAATTGTACCACAAAGTAGCCACTTAATATGCCATTTTTATGTCATTTTAAGCTAATTTTCCAACATATTGCGCCCCTTTGAAAAAACTGAGGTAAAAGCAGCATTGTTTCCCATGTTTCCAGATAAGGCACCTGGTCCGTATGGAATGAATCCGGGTTTTTATCAACAGTTCTGGGATGTGGTGGGAGGGGATGTGTCGGATTTTATTGTGGATTGTCTAAATACGCGGTTATTCCCAACCAATTTGAATGATACTGATGTGGTTCTAATACCGAAGAAGAAGAATCCAGAGCGGGTCTCGGATCTTAGACCTATAGCATTAAGTAATGTGATATACAGGGTCATGGCTAAGATGATTACAGCCATAATGAAACCACTAATGGATGAAATTATTTCTGATTCTCAGAGTGCATTTATACCTGACAGGTTGATTGCGGATAATATTTTAATTGCTGCAGAGATTGGCCATTTTTTAAACAGGAAGCAATGTGGAAAGGTGGGGTGGGGTGCTTTAAAACTGGATATGGCAAAAACATATGACCGTATAGAGTGGCCCTTTCTACGGAATATGTTAACAGCACTGGGTTTTAATAGTACATGGGTGGATCTTATCATGTTATGCGTAACTACTGTGTCATATAATGTCAAATTGAATGGAAACCGAGGTTTACCTATCACCCCGACCCGCGGACTCAGGCAAGGAGACCCTTTGTCTCCATATCTATTTATTATCTGTGCAGAAGGGCTCTCATTGCTATTACAACAGGCACAGACTCAAGGAGCAATTCACGGGTGCAGGGTTGCAAGAGGTGCACCCTCCATTTCTCATCTATTTTTTGCTGACGCTAGTTTGTTATTCTTTAAAGCAAATACGCAAGAGGCAAATGCAGTGAAACAGTGTTTGACACGATACGAAAATTTGTCTGGCCAAGTGGTAAATTATCATAAATCCAGCATATGCTACAGTAAGAACACGCAAGAAGAGGATAGGGATGATGTGGCACAGATTCTGGGAGTTACCCAGGCACCAAATTTTGGAAAATATTTGGGGCTCCCCTCGTTCGTAGGAAGGAATAAGAAGGCAACCTTTTCATATATTGAAGATAAGATAAGGCAGAGAATAATTTCCTAGAATAAGAAATTGTTTTCACAAGCTGGTAAGGAAGTCTTATTGAAAAGTGTGGCTCAATCTATGCCTACTAGCTTTCTCAATGAGTGTTTTCTTATTACCTGTGGGGATTTGTACAGCTATTGAGCGAACCATGAACCGGTATTGGTGGGGATCTAGAAATGACCGTGGAATTCATTGGAAAGCTTGAGACAAATTGTGTATACCAAAAAAGTATTGTGGTCTGGGTTTCAAAGAACTGCATGCGTTTAATATAGAAATGTTGGGTAAGCAGGCATGACGATTTCTGACTAAGCCTGACTCATTGGTTTCAAAAGTTTACAAAGCCAGGTACTACCCAAAAGGGACTTTTTATGATGCCAAAATAGGAAATAACCCCAGTTTCTGTTGGCGCAGTATTATGGCAGCTCAGGCCATAGTTTGTGGTGGAATCAGGCGCAGAATTGGAAATGGGAAAACAACCCTCATTTGGGAACACCCATGGCTACAAGATGAGCAAGACCCAATGACTCCACACGGATAAGCCCCTGTACTTGAGTGGTGCAACTGTTATGGGTTTAATTGATCAGGAAACACAAACTTGGGACCTGGATATTTTGGCAGATATCTTTAGTCCTACGGATATAGCTAGAATAGAAAAGATCCCAATATCACCAGATTATGAGGATATGTGGTATTGGCATGGAGACCAAGGAGGAAACTATACTGTGAAGAATGGCTACAAAACGGTTGTGGCTAACCTCAATGATAATATGGGTAGTGATAGTTGTTGGTTACGTCTTTGGAAGCTAAAAATCCCCCCGAAGTGGAAAACATTTTTATGGAAAGCTTTGAGTGGTATCCTCCTTACTACAACAAACTTGATTATAAGGAGGGTGGAAATACAACCAACATGTGCTATGTGTGGGGTAATGGATGAAGACACAATGCATGCCTTAGTAACATGTGGTTATGCAAACTCCATTTGGGCTCAATCTTCCAATCCCCATGATAACAACAAATGTTTTTCATACTTGGTTTAGTGATCTATTGAATATTTTAGACACTAATTAAATTATTCACGCAGCTGCAATATTATACTATATTTGGAGGGCCAGAAACAGAGCGGCGAGCGAGCCATCAGGCTACCGCACAGCAGCCCGGTACTGCCACTGTCGTAGCACAGCAGCAACTGCAAACGGAAACTGCCGAAGCAATGGTGGCCGTCCAGAACGAGACCACACTGCCGAGGCAAAATTCTATACCGGTGCGGAAATGTTACTTCGACGCTGGTTATTTACCCACCACTGGAAAAGCCACGGTTGGCACAATCTTGATGAGCGAGGAGGGGGATATATCTCGGCATTCAGAGCACCCTTGATGGATTGCTTCTCCCCACTTATGACTGAAGCGATAGCATGCAAGGAAGCCTTATCTTGGTTATGGAATCGGGGGGAACATTCTATACACTTGTTCACAGGTTTTTTAACACTATAGCAATACTTGTCAAACGCAACTGCCTCACTTCGAACCTACGTTGGCTATGCCATTGATGCTTGCAAAGCACACATTATCTCTTTTAATTACTGTTCAGTTAGCATTTATTTGTTCTACTGTTATGTATTCGGGCGATGTCCCTCCAGGCTCTATTTCAGAATACTTTGAATAAATGCCATACTGGCCACCTTTCAAAAAAAAAGGTGGGGAAGTAACATTTTTTTTATTAACTAATGTTTTCTTAGAGAACTATATGTGTGTCTAGTTTTTTTTTTTTTTGAATACTACTGACTTTATTACAATGCAGTATTTACTTGTTCATTCTACTTGTTCATAATTACTTTCTCAATTAAATAAAGTACAAAGAGTCAATATTGCCTCCACTGAGGCTCGATCCAGAACCTCCCACTTGAGAGAATAACTTGGTGTCATTGGATCACAAGGTCTTTGGCATATGTGTGTCTAGTCTATTTGGAGAGCCAACGTATCTACTCTAGTATTTAGCCATCAAAACTTGGTGGAATTGAAGCATTTTTTCATCCTGCCATCTATAGGTGTACATGTACATGATAAATTGATAACAATAAGGTTGGGTTAATACCATAAGAGTCCTCTAAATATAGTGGTTTTGCCACGTTTAATCCTAAACTTTCAAATTATCACATCAAGTAGTTCATGCCATCTATGAAAGATTTATAAAAGATGAGAATAAATGTATAATCTCCAAGATTGCAAAATCACACTTTATAAAGTGGAGGGAATTCATAATTTAAACAAATAATAAATAAATAAACAAAATAAACAAAATTATTGTAATAGAATAGAAACCAATACAATAAACTAGATAGAAAAAGTGTTATCAATCTTAGTCTACTGACACATAACCCCTTGCATAGAAGTACACATAAATAAAGAGTAATTATTTTATTTCTTATACTAAATATAGACTCTCGCTGAACACTCGAGTATAGATTTCTTTAAGTCTAAACTTACTAAATTTCCATTCTTCTTTGATATCAATATTTCTTTCGTTGTAAACTTGAAGATAGCCCGCTAGATTTGAATCAATATTAATACTTTTCCTTTTTTTACTTATATAGAACTTCTTCTTCGCCTGAGTCACCAAATCAATAGACATGAAGTAGGGTATATCTCTTTCAGGGAGAGTCGGATACCACGCAAGTATACCATCTGCAAACACAAGCAATTGACTATCCAAATTCCAAATTCCTTTTGCTCTACAACGACCACGATAATCTGTGTTTACAATGCATGCTTGTTTATGCCAATAAGTATTGTTGTCATTTTCAATCATTAACCAAATCTCGATGCAACTGGAATCTCTCATAATTGGATTTACAAGTAAAGCAATTTTCTCATTCATAATTGTGACTGAAGAAATGCAGAAATCACCAAAGTATGGCAGCTCAATCTCCCCAAAAACCTCATCATCCATGTCAAACCAAAGCAAATGTTGCTTGTAAACTTTATAATCATCCATTTCGAACCAAAGTTATTCATTGTAAGTTTCAGTATAGTAACAATTACTTTTAGCTTGCCAATAATACTTTCCTTTTAAATAAAAATCACTACCGTAACCTTGAATAGGCGGCACAAATGGAACCGAATTAATCTGTCTCAAACTCCATGAATCACCATGAACTTGGCTATAAACCATTGTGATTTGGTCAAAATTTCTCTCACCCGCACCTATATCACGAATTTCTAATAGCATCACAATCTTCCAAGTCATGTTGTTAGAAATCCCAAATCCAAATTCAGTAGTCACGCGTGCACCATTAGGCAGCTTGTTTGGGAAGGTAATAGAGGGTAAGGCTTTAACTTATCTAATGGATGGGTTCCATATCAAAATATCGTAAACCAAGTAATCAACACCAACAAGTTTAGTCCGATCAGTCTTGCTAGAAATCATACATAACATACCTTGACAACACTTAACCCACCGTATTGGGGTTATTGGGATGTCTAGGTATATGCATCCAATCTCATTACTCTCAGATTCTCTGTGAAGAAAATAATATTCTCTAACATCTGTTCCCATCTCTAAAAGAACACAATCAGATTTTGCTTTGCTAATTCCATAGTGTTTGTCCATGAATTGATTATCACTTTTTATCAAATCATAAAAGAATTTGCAAACACATTTAAATCGCATAAGAGACTTTACCGGTAATCTCGCTAAAATTTCAACCACCAGATCCATTGGTAATTTGTAATTTTGCATTTTCATGACGAGATAGATCGATTTTCAAAGATCGAACAATTCAATGCTTCCAACAATAGGGGAAGGATGTGCCTTCAACCGTCAATAAACACAACTCGATCTGCAGCAACTTCAACGTCGTATTGGCGATCTGAGATCTGAGATCTGAGAATGATATAATGTTTGGTGGATTTTAGACTTGTATTTGAGTGTGTGTACGTATGTATATATAACATTTTTGGTCATATGAGGTGTCGCCCTAATTGCAGTCCTTATATCGTGTATCAGGGCACACATTGTATTGTGCGTCCCGCCCTATTCAAAATAACGTTGTTTTGGTGTATTGTTAAAAAAAATCATATGTTTCAAATGTACATAATCTCATGACAGAATATACATAATCTAACATAATACACATAAATTTTTAACGTAATACACATAAACTTTTAAAGTAATACACATAAGCTCTTAACGGAATACACATAAACTTTTAACATAATACACATAAACTCTTAACTGAATACACATAAACTCATAACACAATACGCAGAAATTTTTAACTGAATACACATAATGGGGTTTGGTCCATTTGAATGGACGGAGTGGCGTCCGTACGTCAATCCCTGTCAACAGCAATTGAAACGGCGGCGTTTTGTGTCTGGGCACACGTTGCTATGTGTGCGGTGGTGCACGATATAAATTGTCGCCTAATTATATTGTAGGAGACTCGTATCATACTCAGACTAATCCACATTCGCACCGGGCCGACCCAGGGGCGAAGTACTAGTCAGTATAGATTTTTAATATAGTAAAATTATATTTTTAGTTTAATACACTGAATGTTAATTTTTTCAAGTTACCAAGACTACGTGGTCTAATGGTACCCAGGTTGGACTTCCATTTGGAAGGTTGTGAGTTTGAGGAGAAAGTATATGATTTTTGAATAGATACTACATTGTAATAGAGCCAGTAGCATTCAAAAAATTTGAGTATAAAAGTTCATTATTTAGTATACTACCAAATAATGAACCTTCAGTATATTGCTAATGAACATTTATTCATGATCCACATGGACCATAGTCTACAATATAGAATTTGGTTAAGTTTAGGGATGGGTGTTGGTTCAATTTGGGTGATTCTTTAATTTTAGGTCAAGAATCTTGAACATATTTGGTTCAAATAAAATTATTTTAATTTTATTTTCAGGTTGGTTTGGTTTTATCCGAATTTTGATTTATAAATTTGAGGAAGAGTTTATGAAGAATTTACCGTGAAGTATATGAAGAAGGCAGTCGGAGATATATTTTTGACCAGCTGAAGTTGAATTGTGATGTCTCTCTCTGTCCTTAGTATTTTTTTTTACTAATTTTTAAATTAAATATTTTTTGTTAATAGTACTTTTAGTGTAGTTTTCAAATATATAAATTTTGTATACTAATACTAAATTTAATATTATGAAAAATTAAATTAAAATAATTTCAGTCAAGCCTCGTTAACCGAACCAGACACATAAAATGGGATAAATGGAGTAGAAAACTTGAAAAAAAAACAACAACTCTAAGTAATATAATTGACCACAAGAGAAATTTGTCTAGAAATCAACCAGAGAAATGAGAATAAACTCAAATCCGAGAGTCATTTACTAGGAGCTCTTTTTGTCCTAGTGCATTCTTGATTTCATGTATGAGTGCTACAAATAACATATAGCTTTGTAACCTCTGTTTGGTAAAACATAGGTAATATAATTGTCTGAAATAATACCATTCTTGATTTCATCTGATTTTACACATCTTGATGCAAGCTAATCTAGTTTAATTTATTGCCCGTCTTTACACGCGCACAGACATATGTACTCTCTTAAGCTTTCATTTGATCCGTCATATACATGCCCTATTTGGTAAAATGGCTATTAGCTGTTAGTTGATTGTATTAATTAAAGGATATAAATAGTTGATAACATTAGCTGATTGTAGAAAATTATTTGGTAAATTAGTTGTTAGTGATAGCTGCTTCGTATATTGCATGGCGCATAAAAATATTGAGTTTTCGTTCTTCTGTTATATCAGTATTTCTCTCGCTGTAAACTTGAAAATACCCATAAGTTCGATTTGAAGCAAAATTAATACTTTTAAATTCATTTCTCCCAATAAACCATAGTGTCCGGAATTGAAAAAATTACTGATTTGGTCCCTCGACTATTAGGATTTCACCATTTTGATCATCGACTACCAAAATTACTCAATTTGATCCTCGACTATGACATTTTTACCTGATTTGATTCTCGACTTTGACATTTTTACCCGATTTGGTCCTAAAGTCAAACTAGTGTGATTAAGGCAATAAATTTGAAGATATTTTTGTAATTGCATATAGGCATGTATATATATATATATATATATATATATATATATATATATATATATACATATATATATATACATATATATATATATACATATATATATATATACATATATGTATATATATATACACATATATATATATACATACATACATATCGTATTATAAATAACTAACAAACGAACAATACAAAAATTTAAAAAAAAAAAAAGTTAAACGTAATGAATTATCATAAATCATGAATTAAGTATGTATGTTGATAACAATCCGTGGGATTACTTCTTAGTTGCAAATTTCAATCCTTTTATATATATATATATATATATATATATATATATATATATATATAGACACACACGCATTATAAATAACTAACAAATGAACAATACGCAAATTTAAAAAAAAATTGAGTTAATCGTAATGAATTCTCATAAATCATGAATTACGTATTAATCCCACCATGCATACGTAATTCATGATTTATGAGAATTCATTACGATTAACTCAATTTTTTTAAATTTGCGTATTATTCGTTTGTTAGTTATTTATAATGCGTATATATATATATATATATATATATATATATATATATATATATATATATATATATATTTTAAAGGATTGAAATTTGCAACTAAGAAGTAATCCCACGGATTGTTACCAACATACATACGTAATTCATGATTTATGAGAATTCATTAAGATTAACTCAATTTTTTTTAAATTGGCGTATTGTTCGTTTGTTAGTTATTTATAATGCGTGCGTGTCTATATATATATATATATATATATATATATATATATATATATATATAAGGATTGAAATTTGCAACTAAGAAGTAATCCAACCGATTGTTATCAACATACATACTTAATTCATGATTTATGAGAATTCGTTACGTTTAACTCAATTTTTCTTTTTTAATTTGCATATTGTTCGTTTGTTAGTTATTTATAATGCGTGTGTGTCTATATATATAGAAGCTTCTGACTCTTGATCCGTTTTGACGGATCCACACAATAGAAGTAAAAATGTTATGAATAAAAGTATAGTTGCATTACTTATAGATTTTATTTTTCCCTTTCTGATTTGAGAATAGCATGGAATGTATGTTCGTAGATTATATGTGTAACAATATTTCAGTATTGAATTTCAATATGTATTATATAAGAATTGAAATTTCTAACAAATCTCCAGGATGGAATTATATCAATATACTTAATGCATGATGACAATTCAGTTCATTTCTCTCTCTTTTTTTTTTTTTTTTTTTTTTTAATTTGCATATTGTTTGTTTGTTACGTTCCTTAAGATCAACACTTAATGCAAGATGCCAATTCAGTTTCTCTTAAATACCTTTGCATTCCGTTACAAACAATATGTAAAAGAAAAATGACGAAAATTAACTCTTTTTTTTATAGTGAGAATTCCACCCGTGAGATGGGGATGAGGTGGCGAGCTACTTTAATGATGGGGGCCTAGTGCCCCGAGTAATAAAGTTATCATTTGCACAACAAAATGGGATGGATGCACATCAATCACACTATGAATGCATAACAAATTGGGACATGATGCACAACAAACTGAGTAGGAAAAATTAAATCAAATGTATAGAATTAAATCACAACCATTGACTTATTTAAATGAAAGGATTATATAAGTCCTCACATCCTCACCTAAGGATAAGTCCTCATTTAATTGTTAATCTATATATGTATATATAGCTTAACTTGAATTCGCTATTAAAAGAAATATAATATAATGCATCAAATATAGCATATATGTCGATGAATCATTTTGGGGCTGATTGGGCCATTATATTATTTTGGGTTGCTTTTTAATCAATCAAGTGTAGTCGAAATCAGGCATATATAAAACACTTAACCCACTATTATGCTCTTGGCCTTGGCAAATTATTGTATGGATCATGAGCCACACAATGTATATGGATCATAATAAAATGTATATTTTTAATATACTAAATGTACATTATTTTTGTACTGAACGTACATTATACAATATAATGTATAATCTGAACAAAAATAATGTACATTCCTTGAATATATTGTACATTATTTTTGTATTGAATGTACATTATTTTTGTACTAAATGTATATTATTTTACAGTAGACAAATTATGGTTCACACAACTTGTATGCAGGGACGGAGCCAGAAATTCGATTGAAGGGGGGCGAAGTAGGACGGATTTAAAAAAATTTCCAGTAAAAGCGAAACATTAAAATAAAAGATATAATTTTAAAAAAAATAAATAAATTATCTAAGAATTTTTTTTTATAACCATTACTTAAGAAATATAATTATAATTTAATAAAATAATTTGAATAGAAAATACATTATAAATTATACATATCACTATTAATATAAAAGAATGTTATATATATATATATATATATATATATATATATATATATATGTGTGTGTGTGTGTGTGTGTGTGTGTGTGTGTGTGTGTATTAAATATTTAAAAAGTAAATGTGTTAAATCCGTAGGGAAAGGACAAAATATGTTAATGCAAGGTTTTGAACATAAATAAATTATCTAAGAATTTTTTTTTTTTTTATAACCATTACTTAAAAAATATAATTGTAATTTAATAAAATAATTTGAATAGAAAATACATTATAAATTATACATATCACTATTAATATAAAAGAATGTTATATATATATATATATATATATATATATATATATATATATATATATATATATATATATATATATATCTCTGTGTGTGTGTGTGTGTATATATTAAATTTTTAAAAAGTAAATGTGTTAAATCCGTAGGGAAAGGACAAAATATGCTAATGCAAGGTTTTAAACCCAAGACCTTTCCTATTACCATAGAGATGCTCTACCAACCAATCTAACTCCTTACTTGTTAACATTTATTAATTTTCTTTATACTAATACTAAAAATATACTATATATACATATATACATATACATATTATATAGGGGGTGGAGGTGGGGTGAGGGGGGCAGCTGACCCCCCTGCCCCCCCTCTGCCTCCGTCCCTGCTTGTACGGACCATGGTCCATATAATAATGATTGCTTGGCCTTACTAAGCTAGCTATATGCATTCAATCTCAGATTTTTTGTAAACCTTAAATTATAAGGCCACCTGATATAGAAATCTTGAATCGCATAAGAGACTTTACCTGTAATCTCGCTCGCTAAAATATCGATCGATCGAGTTGCAAAGATCGAACTGCTTCTAGCAATAGGGGAAGGATCGATATGATGTGCCTTCAACACAAACGAACTTCAACGGCAACAACCTCGTATTGGCGTTCTAAGATCTGAGAACATAGGATAGGGATGAATATATAGATGCCTACGTGGAGTTAAAGTAGAGAGGTTGAGATGTGGGTTTCTTGTGAGCCAACTGAATAGTTCAATAGTTTGATAGGTCTCATCAACTTTGTTGAAAATGTACATATTACATGACCTGCCTGCTTCCCATTCACCCAAATTCCTTATTTTTAATAAGGAATTTCTTGTTAAGTAGTGGTGGATGGAAAGCAGGCTGAAATTCCTTATTGTTATCAATTTATCATGTACATGTACACCTATAAATGCCCGGATCAAAAAACGTTAGATCAAACGTTAATTACTAAGTCAAAAGATATCATTAGTATTGAAGAACGCGTAATTTTATTTTCTTACATAGTAATCAATTCCACCAAGTTTTGATGGCTGAATACTGGACTTGGTCCTTCAAACCGTCGTTCAACAATAGATAGACTAGACACACATATAGTTCTGGGAGAAAACATATTAGTTAATAAAAAAAATAATGTTATTTCCCCGCCTAATTTTACATCTATATGATAACACAAATGGTCCTCTGACTATTGAGGCAGTGTTTCTTTTAGTCCTCAACTTTCAATTCGACCAAAACACATACCTTGATTTTTATTTTTGACCACAAATAGTCCTTCGTTAGTCTTTCTGTTGGGTGAGTGTTAAATTTAAGGGTATTATCGTCAAATTAAAGAAAAAAAAATAAAATAGTTAACAAAAAAATAAAATAATAATAATAATAATAATAATAATAATAATAATAATAATAATAATGTCAATACATGAATTTGGAATAATACATTAAAAAGACCCGTTGCATATCTTAGATGGTTGTTAAACCACCATACACTTTTGCGTAAGCCATTGCTTTTTCAAAATAAATAAATAAATAAATAAATTTTGACTTTATTATGATGACAAGATTTCATGTATCTAGCTTGATTACTTTGTCCAATTGCGCTTTATATATATATATATATATATATATATATATATATATATATATATATATATATATATATATATATATATTAGATAAAGGTAGTAATCAATTGACGTTCTCTAATAATAGTTCTTGTACGTTAAGTCTTTTGTGAGTTTAAAAATATTCAGTTGTTCTACTAAGATTTAACTATGGTCTATTAGTCTTGACTTAGGTATATCTCTATTGATAGAGGCCACTTATAATCTAGAAGCAAGTCGGTCACTCTTATCTATCTAGAAACTCACAGATCTATCAAAGTAGCTTTCAACAAAAACTAAAAAACTTCATAGAAACGTATCTCTGTTGATATTTTGCCTTTTTTTTTTTACTGGGAGTTACATTAATATATTTATCTAAAGTTAAGTGTAGTTTTAAAGGAGTGAATAAGGGATGTAAATCTGTAATCAAGTTTCAGGATTATTTAAATGATGTGAATAAACATATGACCTCACAGATTGCAGAAGCACACTTCAAGAGAAGGAAATTCATAATTTAAAATAATAATAATAATAATAACAATAGGACTAATAAATCACACCAAACTTGATGAAATTACAAAGGCATAGTTCAAGAATATCATACTTATAATGCATATATAGAAAAAGTATTACATATCTTCCTCCAATATCACATAGCTCGGCGCACATAAATAAAGAGGCAATTAAGTAAATAATGTATAATTATTTCATTCTTACAGAAAATGTAATCTTTCATCGTAAACTCGAGCATATATTGTCTCACCATTAAAACGTTCTTCTACTATATCAATATTCTTTTCGTTATAAACTTGAAAATCTCCTGCAATGGGATGTGAAGCCATAGTAATACTTTTCCTTTGTTTACTTACCGAGAACATCTTCCATTCTTGAGTTACCAAATCCAGAGATATGAAGTATGGTACAACTCTTCTAACATGCTCCCGACAATCCAAATGATTCCAATACCACTGTTTTGTCTTTTCTAGAAATACAAGCAATTCACCATCCAAATTCCAAATTCCTATTGGCATCCAATAATCATTAATATCTACTATTTCAACACAATCTATACTTGCTTGTTTATGCCAATAAGTATTATTGTCATCTTCAATCATCAACCAAATCACAATGCAATACCTCGCATTAGAACCCCACATACTTGAATATTGAAGTAAAGCAATTGTCTCATTCATTATTGAGATGGAAGAGATAGAAATATCAGATGGCAACTCAATCGTCCCAAACATCTCATCATTCATGTCAAACCAAAACAAGTATGGATTACGAGGTACCATGTATAGATTGAGAGGGTCATCAAATAACCTTGAAGCAGACCAATAGTACCTTCCTTTTAAATAAAAATCATTGGTCTCATCCTCAAACTCAATAAAATCGCAACAAGGTGTAACCGAATCAATCTGTCTCAAACTCCAAGAATCACCACGAACTTGACTATAAACTAGTGTGATTTGTTGAGTAGTTCCATCATCAACAGAACAAAAATACAATAGAATGACAACCTTCCAAGTCATGTCATTAGAAATCCCAAACCCAAATCTATTATAAACAAATGCATCGTAAGATGGTCGGTAAGGGACGGTAACAGAGGGTAAGGCTTTAACTTTCCTAATGGATGGGTTACATATCCAAATATCATAAATAAGGTAATCACCTTTACCAAGTTTATAAATATTATTCGTGGTCGAAATCAAGCATAACATGCCTTGACAACACTTAACCCACTTTTCTCTTGGGGTTGTTGGGATGTCTAAGTATATGCATCCAATCTCAGAACATTCTTTGTAAAGCAAATAATATTCTCTATCCCAACCAGTCTCTAAAAGAACACAATCAGTTTTTGCTTTGCGAACTCCATAGTGTGTGTCCATGAAGTGCTGATCACTTGTTATCAAATCATAGAAGAATTTACAAATACACTTAAATCGCATAAGAGACTTTACCGGTAATCTCGATAAGATATCAGCCACCAAATCCCTTGGCAATCTGCAATGTTCCATTATCAGTTCGAGATTGAGCTTCAAAGATTCAACAATTCAAACGCTTCGAGCAATAGGGGATCGGAAGGATGTCGCTTCAATCGTCCATATTCTTCCCAAACAACGGAGATATATATGAGAACACAGAATTAGGGTAGAATGTAATGTTTGGTGGGTTGAAGAGTTGTATTTGAGGGGTAGTTATGCTGTGCATCCGTATGCACCATGCAAACAGATGCCAAAACGACGTCGTTTTATTAGAAAACGCGCATTTCCCTTTAAAAAAAATTCAGGTTCGATTCCCAGCAACAACATTATATTGTTCATTCATTCTGGAATTTTAGTTCATTGATTATGGAATTATAGTTCATTGATTATGGAATTATAGTTCATCGATTATGGAATTGTAATTCATCGATTCTGAAATTTTAGTTTATAGATTATGGAATTTTAGTTCATTCATTCTAAAATTTTTAGTTCATAGATTAGATTCTGGAATTATAGTTCATCGATTATGGAATTATAGTGTGACACCCCAAAAATCCACATTCCATCCATGGATTAATTGAGTAATTAATCCTATTTTATTTGAAGAATTAATTCATAAAATCCTGATTTTTAATACTCAAGGACTAGTATTTGACTAGTCAATCTTTAAGTTGTGTTGTACCTTGAGCTTTGAGGGGAGTACCCTTGTTCCTTACATTTTCTAAAGCTTAGTAAGGGTATTCTTGACTTTTCACCAAGAGTTAGTATTGTAACCTAACCTAGAAGACTTCTTCATTTCATTCCTTACAATTCCTAGAAAATTTCTCTATCTTCTCTCTAGAAAAGAGGTGTAGCTTATTCTCCAAGCTAAGTTGAGACCCTTGTCAAGATTTCAAGTTTTGCTTCCAAGATTCAACCTTTCACCTATTTGGGCATCTAGGAGGGTAAGATCTAAGTTTATCTTGTCTTTTTGGTTCCATCTTAGTTGTCTTTTTCTTAAAGGTAGGATCTTTATGATCTTTTGGTTTGATCTTGAAGTGGGTTTGGAAAGTAAGCCTTGTAAGGAGCTTGTTGAGGGTTAAGTGAAGTCTTTTGGTCTACAAGAGGTAACTCATGCTCTACTAAAACCTATTTTGCTTACCTATATGTGATTTCTTGGATTCTACTTGTTCTTTGCTATGAAATGTGAGGGTTTATGCATTTGTCTTGTGATATTGCATATCTAGAGCTTGTGTTTAGGGTTCCTTTGTGCCATTGCTTGGCATTTTCCATTATTCAAGTCATTTTGTTGTGTTGGGTGAGATTTGACATGTTTTGGACTTGAATTTGTGTTTGGAGAAGAAAATCCCCGAAGGGATTGTTTTACACAGGAGTATGTACCCGCGGGCGGAACAGCGGGGAGAGCCCTACCCGCCGCTCACCCGCAGGTACATAGGATTGTGGGTAGTGTACCCGCGGGCAAAACCACGGGTAGGGGCCTACCCGTGGGTCCACCCGCGGGGAACACAGTGAAGTTGGAATGGGATTTGTTCCCCGTGATTCGTTTGTCTCGGTATTTGGTCTTTTGACTTCCCGATGTTCTTTTGTGGAACTTTTTGAGTGTCTTCTTGATGTTTCGTATGTCTAGAACTATATGGTAGGTATCCATGTAGGACTTTGGTGTCTTGAATCGTGCTAAGTGTTCAACATTGTGTTTCGTTGAACCGAGAGGTGTCTTGTGTGTTCCTCGGAACTATCTTGAGTTTCCCCGTTGTTAAGCATGCTAGTTTGTTATTCAAATGCTAGCGTGTGTGTGGTTTGTACCTTCCGTTTGGTGGATGATAACTTGTGGTATTCATCGTTGATGTTGTTGGGCTGTGACCCATTCCTTGATTGAGTATGTTTCATACCTTCGTTGCGATCCTTTGTTTGACTCGGGTTGAGTTGTGGTGCGTGTGTGGCTTTACCTGGATTGCACGATTAGTGGTATGTGACACTAGTCACCAAGGTATTGCAGCGGTCCTCATGGCGGCCGTGGCGTGATTATGGAGTTGTGGCCTTTGTGTATGGTTCACGTTTTTGGGGGATAACAGGTGTTATCCAGGCTGTGTGCCATGTGCGTGATAGTGCCGCGGGTACTATGAATTGGTGGTCTTTCGTTGGTGGTCTGTTGGAGGGGGGATGACGATTCCCGGCGGAATAAGGTTGGACTGTATGTACAGGGGTTCTGGAGGTAAAGGTTGGAACTAGATATAAGGTTGGGGGTAGCCATAAGGTTGGAACAGGGCATAAGGAAGGCATATCAACTCGTGGCGGGTGATGTCACTAGGGCTTGTGTAGCCGTGGTTGTGTGTTCTCTCTTGTGACGTGTGTAGTCACAAAGGCATGTGTTGCCTAGGCATGTGTTGCCGGTTGTCGTGTCTTTATTCTTATGGTGTTGTTATCTGTTGTGGTCTTGGGATGTGTTCCCGTGGTGTTGGTTGATGAGGATTGAGTCTTGAGTTGATGTTTACTCCTGGTTTTACACTTATATATACGTATTCCGTTTCAAAATGATTTCTGTATATACTCTACCTATGTATGATACTCAACAGGTATTGGTGGGTTACTAGCATTATCGCTGACCGGGCGTCGCCTCAATGTTTATCTTTGTATCTTTCAGGTGATGTCTAGACGAGCGCGATGTTTAGAAGCCGGTAGTCTAGTACCTTTACCTTTCTGTTGTGGTCTGTGTGCCGTTGTAGTGATAGATTGATGTCTTGTTGGGATAGATGTATACACTTGCAAATTGGCTGCCGTAACGTTTATCGAGTTTGGTAGACGTGGCATAACACCCCGTTGGATTTTCTTTTATCCAGTTTCCATTTTATCTTCCGGTGTGCTAGTTTTGTGTTTGATTTGCAGGTGTTAAGGCCTTTTAATATAGGTCGTGTTTGGGGGGTGTTACATATAGTTCATCGATTCTGGAATTTTAGTTCATATGTTGTTGCTGGGAATCGAACCTGATTTTTTTTTAAAGGGAGACACGCGTTTTATTAAAACGACGTCGTTTTTGCATCCGTATGCACCATGCATGGTGCATACGGATGCACAACATATATAATTTGTCGTATTTGAGTGTGTGTATGTATATATAAAATAATTAATCAAGATGGCCCAAACCAATCACATGGGCAAATTATTATGTGGACTATGGTTCACACAATATTACGTGGATCATAATAAAAAGTATATTTTTAATATATTAAATGCACATTATTTTTGTATTGAATGTACATTATACAATATAATGTACACTCAATACAAAAATAATGTACATCCTCTGAATATAATGTACATTATTTTTGTACTGAATGTACATCATTTTTGTATTATGAATGTGCAGGCATGAATTTATGAATGTGCAGTTATGAAATTATGAATTTTCTTTTATGAGATTATGAATTTTTTGTTATGAAATTATGAATTTTCTGTTATGAGATTATAAATTTTCTGGTATGCGATTATGAATTTTCTGTTATGAGATTATGAATTTTCTGTTATGAGATTATGAATTTACAGTACATTCATAATCTCATAACAGAAAATTCATAATTTAATAAATATTTTTATTTTATGCGATTATGAATTTTCTATTATGAGATTATAAATTTACAGTACATTCATAATCTCATAACCGAAAATTCATAATCTGAACAAACGCGCGCCGCTAACAGCACATTAACTAATTTCTTTTTTTCTGTAAAAACGGTGTCGTTTGGACCCGTGAACACGTTTCCAGGGCATAATTTGCGACTTGTGAGGACCGTGGTCCACACAATAATGATTGAATCAACTAAGTATGGGATGGCCTGCTGGACCCAGTCCAAACACGGCAAATTATGTTGTGGACCTGTGTCCACCGGTTACAAAACTGTTTATAATTATGAATATATAGTTTTATAATTATGAACATATAGTTCTATAATTATGAGCATAGAGTTGTGAATATAATTACGAATATAAAATTCTGTAATTGTGAGTATAGAGATTCAATAATTTTAAATATAATCTCAAATTTCAAACAGTGTACTTTAAATATTAAACTTTTAGTGAATTTAGGCAAATTCTCAAATTGAGAAGTGCCCTCGTAAATTAGGGTTGTTTGCTAATTAAGAAGTCCAAAACCCGGTAAATGACACCCAAATGATCGCCAGTTGCTGTCTACCAAGAACGCAACCAACCCGCCTTTTCCGACGGATGGCGACCACTGATCAACTACTGTATAGAGATGTCTACGGTTCAGTTTGAACCATCTAGTTCAAACCGAACCGTGTATATATACTATATATTATAAGAACCAAACTAAACCGAACCGTAGGAATAGTTCAGGTTCCAACTTGTATAATAAATAAATAAGGGAAAAGATACAAATAGGCCATTGAACTATTTGGGGGATATCAATTAAGCCACCTAACTCGAATAAGTTCCAAATTGATCCATGAACCTGCAAAAAAAAAGTGCAATTAGCATTTTTAGTAGGTTACCAACAAATTTATGATGATTAGGATGCCATGTGTATTTTTTATTTTTTATTTTATTATTATTATTATTATTATCCTACTAAGAATTTGGTCCAAAAAAAAAAAAAAAAAAAAAAAAAAAAAAAAAAAAACTAAGCATTATGACGAAATAATACTAGAGATAACTAAGTTAAACTATTATTATTTTTATTTTAAAATAGACCATGATGTTTGGCACCAATATATAGGGGTGTCAATGCGGGCCGACCCGCCTCATTAGGCCCGCCCCACCGCGGGCTTTTAATTTGGCGGGCTTTTG